ACCAGAAAATCACGATTATAGATTGGATGAAAATTCTATCTAAATATCTGTCCATATTTATATTTTAATAAAATAATTATCATTGTTTATTCGATTGAATGATTTATCTTTTTTTCATGTTTGTGTTTTGATAACGAATCATCATTATAATGGGCATACATTTTTATTAACAATTTCTCAGACGATTGAATAGTATCAAACTACACAATGAAATAATGATCAACATTAAATAATCGACCAAGCATAAATCCCGATAATTTTTGATTTAAAATGGAATGTTTAGAATAAAAATTTGAATGCAGAATGTTTCAAATCGAAAAAATCATCCCGTTTTTCTCAATGTAACAGCATTTTTTCTATGAATCAACCAAAATGTACGTGGAATATTTAAACATGATTGATTTTCAATATATAAACGGATGATGTTCATTTTCATTGCAATAGATTACATATCTATTTTTTTCTTCTGTTCGAATCAATAATATTGTTTTTGTTTCCCAATTTTTTCATGCAACAAGAGGAAATAACCAAAATGATCAATGAATGAATTTAAAATAAACGTGATTTTCCGATTTATCCTATTTATATTTTAGTACAAAAACTTTCCTGAATTTCGGCTATAAAAATATGCAGAATATGTTGTACGACAAGTTGTTTTTTGTTTTGTTTTACCACATTCAATCTGATCATAAATCCAACTGATTTATAAAGAATTATGGATAGGGCAATGGAAAGAAAGATTTCGAAGAACAAAATCAAATTGAAAATCACAAAACAAATGCAAATAAAAAATTAGCCAGAATAAAATTTCCCCATTGTTTTTTTGTTTTATTACAAAAACCAAAAAAGAGGGGAAAATTTTTCGATGAACAATTAAATTTTTGTTTTTTTTTCGACAATAGTGAAGAAAAATTCCAAAGATAAGATAAATTTGGTACATTTTTTGGGGAAAAAGTATTAGCTAACTAATAATCAATGAATTTATTTCTGCAAACAAACTGTAAATATAAATTACGTTCATTCCATAATGTTCGAAATAGAAATTCTCATTCTTCTTATTATTATTATCAATTGAGCTGATCATGATAAGAATTTCAAAGAAATTTTCTTTTTAATTTTGCATATGATCTGAATATCATATTATTGTTTTTTGTTCATTATTTACATCGTAGTTGGGAAATAAATGTTAATGATTTGAATTGTTAATTATAATGATGGCGGTGGTGGTTAATTGTCGATACACAAGGGAAAAATATTCAATAATAATAATAATAGATACTAAACATGAATAAAAGTCTAAATGAATGGATTGAACGAATGTGGTCATTATTTTAAATTGCTTTAAAATAAATGCCATTCATTAGGATAATTGATAAATGTGAAAATGTTTAGGATTTCCATTGAATTTCATTGCATTTGAAAAAATTGTCCACCGAACATTGATTTTATTCAAACAAAAACAGTAATGTTAACTAACAAATAAATTGTAATGCCGTAATGAAGAATGGGAAAAAAATTCAATAGATTCTGCAATAACTGTATAGTTGAATGTTTGTTTGCTGAATGGATAAAAATCAATTCAATTGAATGAGAACAACAACAATAACAAAATCCTATCAGACTTTATTTATTGTTTTATTGCTTTGATTATAATCATCATTGTTTAAATCTATTTTACCATTAAATTGTTTTAGTCATTTATCATTTTCACTCATACTTTAACGAATAATGAAATGGGCTGAAGAAAATTTTTTTAGTTAACTGATTGACTGAATAAAATCATTCAAGTTTAGATTGACAGCAAAAAATGAATAAAAAATAAAAATGCAAAAAAACTTGAATGAGGGGAAAAAATTATTCCGTTTCAACCAACGTTCTTCACAAAATTCTCTTGAAATAGCTTAAAATACATTCCAAAAAAGTGGAAAAAAACTTTTTTTTGATGATATGAAAAAAAGTGTTGAAACAAAAACAAAACAAACTAAAAAAAAAAATTTCAAACGAATTTCCATCGACCATCATTGTGCACGTTTTTGTCATTCAAACTGGATGGATGGATGAATGGATGAATGTCTTCTTTTCCGTTGATTGTATCCGTCAAATATCTCTTACTAATAACAGAGCCTACATTCTGCACCTCAATGACATAATGGAATTTTTCATTACTTTGATGATTGATGCAAAAAAACCAAAGAAGACATGATATACCTTACTCTTGGGATTGTTAGTTTTATTCGTTATTTTTTCATCATCATTATCATCTTGAAACTTTTTTTTGAATGAATTTGACAAAAGCAAAAACAATAAAAATATAGTGCAGCTAAAAAGTAAACAAAAAAACAAAAAAAATCGAAATGTTATGCAATTTTTTTAAATGTTTATTTTTCAAAAGGATTTTTTCAGTGTAAATGAATCTATTTTAGTGTAATATATTTTGCCTTGAAGCTTAGTTCATCCTGGTTCATATGAACTTTATTTTTTTTATACACAAGAGGAAAAAGGAAATTTTCTGATCAAGGATTTATCCGGAATCATCAATCACTTTATATTTGAATTAAAAAGATTTTTTTGCTCTATCAAGATAATAATTTTCACGGATTTTTTTTTCGGGAATAAATCCGAATCAATTCTTCATGATGCTTAATGCTTAAAATAGATTTATTAATTACAAAATTGTTTATGAACAAATTGGTTATTTATTAGCTTTATAATTTTAAAACATAAAATAGTTGATTTTATCAAAATACGTTACGATTCTTGATCAAGATTGTATTGTAAATTTTTGTTTATCACCCACACACACACATTTTATTTTATTATTTTCTAAATAAAACTAAATTATATCATCAGTCACAGCTAATGTGTTTTTACTTTCGTTTTTAGCTATAGCTATAGTATACTATATGATATAATAATCTTGAAGATTAAATTATCATTGTGATTGTAGTGAATCAAAAAAAATATATCCGAAAATCCTTGAATTTTTGAAACTTAAGGAAAACATATGCTTAAAATAATTTCAGCTTTTTTCGTAGAAATCTTAATTATATACATCATTTGGAATCATTAAATTTTTTATTCAACATTATGAAGATAATGATGATATTTTTTTTTATTACCGTATTTTCTGCATCAAAAATTGAAAGCAATTTCAACAACAACAACAATAACAGAATAAAATTGTGTTTGCGTTAACATTTTTTTTAATATTTACCCTCTCTACATGTATGATTTTTGAACGTTATTTTTGCACTTTCATTATTATTTTTTTGTTGTTTCACTGCCATTGTCATTATCATTAGTATTATTATTATGGAAGAGATTATAGTTATTAATATTTAAAAATAAGATTATGAATTCATTTTATTGTCGTCATTATGAACAATCAAACATGGAGAATAGGATTTTTTCAACATTCCTTTTCAATTACGGTTATTACATACACACGCACACCTAAATGTAGTCACAAAAATAAGGTCATCAGGCAAAGAACAAGAATATACTATGCGATCGCCACAAAATTACGAATAAAAAGAGACTGAAAAAATTCCAACTTGATATTCTTGTTGTTTTTCTAATCCAACATCCATTTGCTTGTTTGTTCCAACATTTTTTATTTGCCTTGGTGTTGATTCATCATTCATTTATAAAATCAAAAAAAAACTAAATCCATTTATAAATTAGAATTGTACATTTATTTTTGAAGTGATGAAAAAGATAAAATAAAAATACTGAATAAAAACAAACAAACAAACAAATCAATTTGAAAGCCATCATAACATCATGTGATGTGTTTGGTTTTGTGCGATTCTTAAATTTTTATTGAATGTACATGTTATTCGTTATGGTGTATGTACTAATAAACACATTTATTAAAGATTATTATCACATCTGAATTTATTTTTGATGTTCTGAATTTTGTTGAATTCAGTTTCTCTTGTGGTGGTTGTTTTTCATTCTTGATTATTGAAATGAACTATACCAACATGAGAAATTTAGAAAAAATAATAGTATAAAGTAGCTGATTTTTTTCGTAAAAAAATCTGAATGTTGGTAATATTATTTTTTTTTCTGGCCAACGATTTTCATGTATTTTATTCAGAATATAAATTGTAGTGTTATTAGAATTTGAATCGACATCGGTTGAATAACTTGAAGTTTTTTTTCTGATTTTACGCAATAATCGTTTCACACATCTGTGAAAAATTCAAAAAAAAAATTTTCTCGCTTCAATGAAATAAAATCCATTCATCATGTATGCTATTTTTTTCTTAATTTTACTTTTCTTTGACCATTTTTTTAAAGTTCTTGTGGTGATGTTGTATGAATGTTTGAATGTTCTTTCTATATCTGTTGTCATTATTTTAATTGTTGTTTTTTTTCATTTTCTACTTAGATTACAATGATAATGGTGAATATTTAAGAATTTCAATTGAAAAAAATGAATTCATGTGATCAAATAATGAAAACAGCAATAACATTGATTATGGCCATATCATGATTATCTTATTGAAAACATAATTGAATATCTTTCTTAACAGAAGTAAAACTTTCGACACTGTTAATGATGAGGCCCATTAACATTTATTAATTTTTTTCCTCAAATGGTAAGTTTGTATTTCATTATCAAGGACATTAATACTAATGAAAATTCATTTTAATAACTATTTTAAAACGATTTTTGAATTGAACAGTAACAACAATTGGCAAATAGCATACTATCAGTACTTTTTTATGGTTATAATGTCGTCGCCGTTGATGCATAATTACCACCATCATCATCATCACCATCATCAAACGCATTTAGCAAATTGGTCACATGGTTCAGATTATCATCCACTAATATGGTCTACGGCAAATAATTTGTTGATTCAACTTCGTGATGATCAGTTGAATATTGATCAAAAAATGCCACAATCGTTGGAAATGCCAACAACGACAACAACAATGTCAATTTTTTATGGTGATGCTTTTTCAAATCATTCTTCATTAACTACATCAAAAACAGAATCTTTTACAACAACCGTATCGGCATCATCATCATTACCGTCAAAAGATGCATTATCTTTGTCCGCCATATTGACATTGGATACGATATTAACATTAATATTGCCGTATTCAATAATATTCATATTGTCCATTGTTGGGAATTTACTTGTGATAATCACACTTACATTGGATCATTCAATGCGTTCAGTAACAAATATATTCTTGCTAAATTTAGCCATTTCTGACCTATTGTTGGGTGTTTTCTGTATGCCATTCACATTGGTCGGTGTTTTATTACGTCGATTTATATTTGGAGCTTTTGTGTGCCATATGATTTCTTATTTTCAAGGTGAAAACATTAATAAAATTCAATAGATTATTCTGATCTATTAAATATTTTAAACTTATGCTTTCTTTTCTATAATTTTTGTCCACATTTTTTTCAATTTTCTGGAATTTCTTTTCTTACATTTGAAATTTCTATCATCGTTATTGTGTTCATATAAATCAATATAGCTGTTTCGGTTGCCGTATCTGTCTGGACATTGGTATCCATGTCGATTGAACGTTATTACGCCATTTGTCACCCATTTCGATCAAGAGAATCGAGACAAACAAAAAAACATGCCTATCGTATATTGGCAATGGTATGGACATTGGCATTCATAACAATGTCACCTACGGCCATTGTTAGTAAGCTACAACAAACTAATCAAACAGGTAATTATTATTATCGTATATATTGTAAACAAACAGACAAACAAAAAAATGAATTATTAATAGCGAATACGGTGTATAAATAAACACTTAAAACAGAATGATAATGAAAAAAAGAAAGAAAAATCTTTTGACTGATTCAATATCTGAGCACACCTATTTGCGATTAATTCATTTTATCAATAATGCAAGAATAATAATGATAATGAAAATGAACACATACACACACACGAGACTAACTTTTCATTACAATATTCTTATATGTCAAGAATTTTGGGGAAAAATTAACTAAGTTTCATGTTCTTCATTTTCATTAATAGGACATTATAAATGTCGTGAAGCATGGCCATCATTTCTACATAAACAAGTGTTCACATTATTCTTAGATTTTATCCTATTGATTATTCCATTAATCATAATGATTTTGACATATGGTTCGATTGCATTGACATTGCGACATAGTGTTTCAGGTAAACAACAGATCAATTGTGATATTAATCATCAAAATCAACAACAAAAACAAGTAGGCCCGACAAAACATTTACAAATGTCAATTACAATGACAAAGAATAAAAGTCCAAGTAAGTTAAATTGTTTATATTTTCAATAAAACCTTTCCGATATCACGTATTCAAGTTCCATAGAATTTAAGTTTTTTCATTTTTGTTTCAAATTTTTTCACACTTGAATAGATTATAGTTATAAGACGACTTCATTCAATCAACACGATAATTGTAACTTAACGGATTCAATTGAAACTGTTAATAATATTAATAATAATAATGAAATTATTCGGTGCCAAAAATTTCGATCAAATCAGAATGGTGATCACAATAATCATTCATACAACAAACATTCTAATCACTTTAAAATTGGCCAACATATTACCGAAACAAATCTATCACCAACAACAACCACATTGTTGAATCGTTCGTCAAGTAATCATCATCATGTTCAATCGCCAATCATTAATAATGGTCTATTATCACCGGAACTTTCTGGATCCTGCGGCAGTTTACAATCGACAACTAATAAAACCATATTACGTGTGGCCAATACAAGCTACAATTCTTATCACGGTACATCTAGACAACGACGTATTATTACAATGTTATTCGTTGTTGTTATCGAATTTTTTATCTGCTGGTCACCAATATTCTTGTTGGATACTATGGCATTATATAGGCCAGAATTAGTGTATGGAACAAGTCAAAAAGTTTCCAATTGGATTGGTATCGATATTATTTCCGTTTGTCATTTATTATGTTTTTGTTCCACATGTAATAATCCAATCACATATTGTTTTATGAACAAACGTTTTCGTGATCATTTTTCCTCATTATTTCGCTGCCGTACTGCAATTCCCGTTAATATGAATAATCCAAGTTCAATACAGCAACCAAATGAAATTAAAGTCTGAATGCGCCATCTATTATTTGTAATATAATCAATTTTTTTGCAAAATTGGAATTGTAATAAAAGAATAAAAATTATTTGGATGGCAGAAAATTTTATTAAGTACAAAAGTTTGAAAGTCCTAAATGTTGTGTATGTATAAAGCTTATAATAAATTAAAGTAAAAAAAGGAAAAGACATGTTACAAATCGCAAAGGTATATTATGCAATAGAAAAAGATGATTTTAGTGTATGATGCCTGTGTGTGTCATTCGATCTTATATTGATCATATACAATATGCACAAAGTATAGGCTGGGTTTTATTTGAAAAAAAATGAATTGGTTTTTATCAAAAAAAGTAGGATCAGAAGTTAGACAAAATTTTCTTCAATATTTTTATCAATAAACAATAAAATTGTTTCGAAATAATTTTCATTTGGATGAAAGAAATAGACCCAATGATAGGACGCCAAGTGCACCAGCAGCACCACATAGTATATTCTTAAGATCCATATTGAACAAAGCATTGTCATTATTCGGTACATCACCAATTATATCCTGTGCAAATTTTACGATGTCATCCTAGAAAAAAAGAATACAAATCAATTAGTCAAAATTGTTAAATTAAAAAAAAATTGTCAAATGTCAAGTTAAAAAGTCAAGCTCATGAGAATCCGGTTTTTAAAAACTACTTAAGTATTAAAGAGAAGGTCAAATTATTTTTTTTAAAGTCCGACACATTTTCGATTCCCACCGTTTGTCAAGGATTTTTTATGCTTTTTATTTATTATTTTTAAAGAGGATCTACCACACACACACTTACATAATCTCATATCATATCTATGAATGTTTCTCGTTTCTTTTGATCGTTTACCGACGAAGAAAAAACACCATCACCATCGATTATCAGATGATCATGATGGTTGTTTGTTTGGTTTAAATTTGTCATCATTTTACATCAATATCATCATTATGTTTATCATTACATATCATGTTTTTTTTTTGAATATCATTTTAAAATCCGGTATTTGAATAGGATTTCTTCCAAGTATGAACCATTTCAATATGACCATAAAGAAAAAGTGGACCAAATTACATAATAAGTCTTGTCAGGTACAGGTTTTATTTTTCTTTCGCTAACCAAAATTGACTTAGATATTATTTTCTATTGTTTTTCACATCTCATTGTTCTCATGCACACAGACACACCTATCAAGTTCAGAATAAAATCACCCATCATTATAATTGTGTATTCATGCATACAAAAAAAGAATAACCTTGACAACAACAGGATTCTTTATATTGTTTTTTTTCTAAATAATTCTTCTTTTCTTCAAATTGTGCAGTGCATTCTTCTCTTCTTGATTATATTGGTCAATTGATAATGAAGGTGGTTGCTGTTGTACAAAGTTTCTCACCACAACACATCACATTTAGTTATAGACAAACATAGAGAACAAGTATTTTTCGTTGTTGTTGTATATTTCACTCTCTCGCTCCCAGGCTTTTTATCATATCCACACACACACACATACACATCTCTAAAACGACCAACGATGACGGCGACGACCTGCTAAGGAATGTGACCTCGACAACAACAATCAAGAGACGGTCGATCGGGTCGGGTCATAAACATACATATAAACATAGAATGAATCTATCTCAATTATGGTGTAGTATAGTTTTTTCTTTCTCAGAGAAATCGACTACACAGTTGAAAAACAAATAGAAAGAAAGCGTAAAGCAGTAGTAGTTATATTGTCATCGGAAAAAACCGGGGACCCTTGAAGGTCCCAAGTGTGTGAGTGCGGATGACATGTGCACTATGATAATTATGAGAAAAAATAAGGTCCCCAATGAAAACGAGCAAAAAAAATCAAAACATTCATGGGAACTAATACAGTGATGGGAAAATCTGATCTACCCATGACATTGTTTATAGCATCAATATTTCACATGACACTTGTCATTTGAAATGTATGATAAAGAAAAAAGTAAGAAAAAAACTTTGAATATCTCAATCTTGACACTGATGAACAGCTGATCAATGTGTGGAATAAAAAATTCTGTATTATAAACATATGATACATACCCAACCACCATTCTTTTCGATCCATGGTAATAAATGTTCGGCAGTATAACGGGTTAACCATTTGGCCACATCATTAACAGTGGCTACATGTTGTTGGCTAGCATAATAAGCGAAATCCACACTGAATACAAAATATGTAACAATATGATTCCATTGTATTCCTTGAACAAACATTTCATTGCTAAGACAATGGAACGTTGCACATGCATTCTGTGGCTGTAATTCAAGTTTGACAATTATTTCATACAATTGTCTTGCATATTTTTCTTCAAATGATTTGCCCAGTGCCCTTAACGCCATTCGTATTTGACTATGATTGACTAATGATTGGGTATTATTTGTCGTTGCTGTTGGATTCGATGATGATGATGATGATGATGATGATGTGGATGGCGATGAAGAAGGAAATGGACATTGCGCCTTTTTCAATTCAAACTGTGCATTGAAAAAGTCTTTGACAAGATTCATCAACATTGGATCATATATAGGCATTTCATCAGTGGATTGATTCGGATTTGTTCCATTATGAATGACATGAGAATGAGGAATATGATGATCGGTGGAATTCATATTTGTTGATGTTGAGGATGACAATGCATCCGCATTCTGTAGTGACATTGCTCGATAATTAAAAATCGAATATTTTATCAAACGAATAAAAATGGATTATCAAACAAATAACGATTTGGTAAACAATCGATTATCAAATGTTGTGGTCAAATTTTTATTTATTTATCACTATTGAAATATCATGAACACTTTGTTGTTATTGATGAACGTTGTAATCAGATCAATTCAAAATGAATTGAAAAAAATGATCACACAATGAAACATTGAATTAATGAAATAAGAAAATGCGTATAATAAAAAAAAAGAGAGATCAAGGCGGAGGATGCATTTAGGAACCTTTAGTTCACAATGCCGCTACCATCATTGACCGTTCATATAAGACGAAAGAAATTTTTCAGGAATAAATTATCAGATCAATTTAATTGTTTTGATAAAATTACTTAAATTTTATCTATTCATTTCTTATATTTTTTCTTACATTTTTTTTAAATTGATTAAATTTTTAATCATCTTTTTTTTATCGAATGAAAAAATATTCTTTTGTTTAAAAGTTTCAATAATTACTGCTAGCAGTATCTTGGTCGTAAAATGTGTTGGAAAAAATTTCAATGAATGAATGAATAAATGAATGAAATACGAGTAAAAATGGTGATGAAGGTGTGTCCTCATTTACAAACATATACACAATTGCTGTTTGGAACCATCCATTTCTCACTATTTTCACATCCATCCATTGACCGTCTGCTTAAAAAGGCTAGTTTTTGTTTGTTTGTTTTCTTTTCGTTGAATGAAATTACGAGAGTGAGACATTTGAAATAGCGCAAGCTATGAATATCCATACATTAAACTACATTCCTGACTACATTCCATTCGACAAGTTGGAAATTAGACTTGCATTTTTGTTGTTGTTGTTGTTGTTACCTGTATATACCTGTTTAGCTTGTTTGTATCCTTGATCAAAAAAAAGTTGAAAAATAATTTGTTAGTTAGATTCCCTTTTTTTTGAAATGCTAATGGCTGAAATTCTTTTGCTGTTTGTCGCCCAAAGATGTCGTGTCGATCGTTATACAGAATATCATTTTGAATTTTTTTTTAATTAGATTATAATTATTATAGAAAAAAATACAACGCTTTGAATTGAGAGTGAGAAATAGAAAAAATGATCGATGATTTCAATGTGAGATAAAGTCAAACGAACCTAATACTCAAGACCAAATTCATTCTTAACCCATGGATAGACATCAGGACATTCGAAACAGGTATGAAGATAACGTTCACCTTTTACTTGACGTGAATTTAGTTTACATGATTTTGGATGATTACAAGCGATTAGATTCGGATCAATATCGCGTTTGCATTTAAATGGTTCAAAATTGGCCAACTGTGATAACGGTGTAGGTGTTCGCATCCATTCAATGGCCTGATAATTTGTGATTATATAAATATCCTAAAGAAAAAAAAATGATCAATTCAATGATCAAAAATTTTGAATTCAGATACCTTATTCTGAAGTAATTCATCAAGAAATCGTGTAAGAATGGCAAAGTTACGTTTTTCTTTGAACCAAATCGTATGAAAGTAAAGACCAAAAGGTGCACGATTTGTACGATAATGACGATTAAAATTATCTTTCAACATGGCATAAACTTCTTCATCGGATAAATGTGTAGGACATGAATCAACCATGGCACAAATATGACCCTAAATTTTATAGATAGAAAACAATTTTGAATAATTCTATCAATGTATTTATTTGATGAAATTGATCAACCTCAATATCGAAAGGATTCATAATCATTTCCCACATTCCATTGAATGATCGCGATGGACAACGTTGACGCGATCCATGACATTTATGTGGTATTCGGTAATCTAATGTAAATGGCCATAATGGTGGATCAGATCTAGGTGCTACCATTGATGAATCATAAAGAAATCCAAATTCTTTCATCTATGTGATGAAAAGATATTGTAGCTAATTTAATGAAATTTGTTCAGCAATATTACCATGATGAATTGTGTATTCCAACCGACACGTAAAAAAGGAACACGAGTTCCACGAAGTTCATCCAATGGAATTCCAGCAAAACGATTGATAATATTAGCCATACCGGCAAATTCATCAAACCAATCTTCCATCGTAGCGTTAAATGTCCACCAAAGCTCGGGCTGTCGATGACTAAAAATGAAATTAATTGGAATTATTTTGTTGTCATCTTTGAATTTATCTTTGAAAAATACATACGTAATTGAATGGATGCCAATTTCATGACCATCGTTCCATAGTTTTTGAACATGACGATAATTGGTGTATTCATGTGAAAGAAAAAATGTTGTCGAAATTGGGCAACCATTGGGGTTTGTACGATTCGGTGCAAATATACGTTCATATATTTCCCAATTTTCATTATTAACAGCATCATCGAATGTAAGAATGACAATCTGTGGTGTTTCTTCTGGTTTTAGATTACCCGGTATCAATGTACCATCAACCGAGCAGAAACAATCAGGTAATGTACAATTATTAGCATCACATCGAGGTGGTGAATTTGGATCCGAATCTGGATCGCAATAGGATTCATCTGACCAATCATCGCAATCTTTTTGTCCCTTTTATTCATTTAATTTTAAAATTTAAAGATAATTATTCATCATCAGGATCTGAATCAATGATAAAGACTTACATCACAGAATAGATCACGATTAATGCATTTTCGGTTTGCACAAGCTAATTGTCCGGAAGGACATATTGGTTCATCAGTCGAAAGCAATGGTTTTGGTGTACTTGCATCTATCATTAAATATAGACAAATTCGTAATCAATTCGAACAAATTAAACAAAGTATTACCGTGTGATTTTTCACAATTATCTATTTTAAATTTAAAATCACAAATCTGTCTGTCTATATCGAACCAAAGACCAGCTGAACAACGAAATTGTAATACTTTTTGGCTTGGACACCAATAATAACGGGCGCAATCACGAATACCAATTGCTTCAGGATTACGATAGAATTTTCCATTATCAATACATGGAACGCCATCCACAGAGCCTATTAAATTTCAAAAATTAAATAGATTGAAATCAAATCAAATCATCAGACACAGAGGCGTGGTGGTTTTTTTTTTTGTGAAACGAAAGAAAATAACAACAACACAAATTCATCTATGTCTCTTCCTCTCTCTCTCTCTTTTTTTCCATCTATATCCCCCAATAAATTCGTTGAAATTTTCAATGATGACCTAGCTATCTGATGATAATGGTAATGGTCTCTGTCACCAATGATAATTTATGTATGATTCGCCTTATATAATAAGATCATTTGAAATTGAAGGGAGAAATTGATGGAAATAATCGAAGGTAAAAAAATGAGGTCATGAAATGATTTTAGTTTCATTTTAGCCAAATTTTGTCTTATCCACACACACACACAATGTCTTCATTATCGATATTGATAATGATTGACAAGTTGACCAGCATTCCATAGGTCAGCTACATAACGAATGAATGGATAAATCCCATCTAATACTAACAAAAAAAGAAAGAAAAAATTATTCAATTGTTACAAACTTACCATCATCATTGGCTGCATTCACATATAAATTTGGGTGATGATTATTGATAAATGATAATAGATGATCATTATTTGAATATAAGCAAATGATTATCAATATTACAATCGAAATGCATGAAGAAAATTTTGTCATCATCATCATTGTTGATGAAATCATTGCCATAATGATTTAATTTCACAATCAACAATGAGACCAAAAAAAAACACTCACAAAAATGAATTGAAATGAATTTGAGAATCTGATCAATTGCAACCAAGACACTTCAAGACATAACACAAAGATACGGATACGCTTTATTGTCCAATAATAACGACGATGACGATGCGTGAGTGTGTGTCTGCACAGATTTGATGGTGATAATCGTAAAGGATTGACTTTTAAAAAAAAATTATATCAAAGTTTGGAAAAAACAGAGCGAAAGAGAAAATGTAAGTCGAACGAAAAAAAGTGATGCCCGGCTTTTTTAGATGCGCACAGCAATTTCAGGTTTTCGTATTATTTTTCCGTTTCTTTTTTTTTTTATTTCTTCGTATCAGAATGAATTATAAATATGGACAAAGGGCGAGTTTGTCGAAAAAAGTCAATATGATAATCTGAAAGTAAAGAATAAATAATATAATAATAATGATTATGATGATAAATAGAGCACCATTTTAACCGACAAACTTGAATGTAATGTGAATGGCTAAATGGATCAAACTAAAAGATAATGATGGTGATGATGATCAATGAATTATGAAAGTGATCACAAATTTAAACTTCGAATACGAACAATGAATGAATGAATAATGATGGCCAAATATTGAACAAGAGAGATAAACAGTCATTTTTCTCATATCGAGTCTAGATAGTCGGATAGTAAGAGAAAAACTAAATACTTGATTTTTTTTTCTCCAAATGTTGAGACTTGTTGCTGAAGTTGTTGGGTCGTGAAGAGCACAATATGATGATGGATCTTTTTTTCCATATCAAATGAGATCAGCCCACATCATAGTTGTTCGAATTTTTTTTCAAACTATGTGGGATGTTCCTAGATTCCATCATTTATGAATTGGACTTTAAATTACTACATTTTTTTCCCAAATATATTTTTATTTTATTTTATTTGATCGATCGATGACCAAAATAAAAATAAACCAAATTGATAATTAGAAAAGATTTATCATGTCAATGATGAATATATTTGGGGTTTTAAAAAGTTCAACTTTATTTTTAACTTGTTATTACTTTTTTTTTGGTAAAGAAAATCAAAATTTCATACATCATTTGGAAATAATCCTGTTTGCAGCAAAAAAAACTCTGATCCAATTGTTAAATCAAATTTGAAATAACATTCATTTAAAAATGTCTCCCATGACCACCAATCTTTGGCCGTAATCTTTCATCAGCTTTAGGCTGTTCCACACAACTCAATGAATTAGCATCGACAAATGAATTTTCACCACATTGAATTAATCTTGGTTGTCCACTGACACAGGTGATTATCGCCTGTTGATTATACCAATATCGTGGATATGGCCAAAATCTATTTGAATGATCATCATCTGGACATTTGAATTGTAATAATGATTCGGAACTACATCCAACCTGATCCGGCCAATTACAACCTTTAATACGTTCATCATAGAATAAACCATATGGTTCACATTGTTTTCGTTGTGGAACACCCCAAGCACATTCACTATAGAAAACATTACATGGTTGACGATCATCTTCGGCAAAAAAACCAAATTGATATGGACAACCAGGGCTATTCATTGGTTTGGCTAATATTTAAAAAAAATTGTGTTCAATGAAAAAAGCAATAAATGCATCAACTTACGAACAGTTTTATCACCGCAATCAACATTCCAATAATAGGCACACATTCCAACCACATGTCCTGTTTGCGAAAATAATAGACCATTTGGACAGAATTCATGTGACATTGTACCATTTGTACATTGAAAATATTCATCGCATGATTTTGGATGTGGATAACCGTAAACACCTTCGGATGGACAATGTAATGGAATCTCTTCCAATGCTTGGAAAAAAATTTGGAATCAAAAAAAAATATTTCAAATTTTTACAAAAAAAAAATTCAATTATCACAACACCATACATACCGGGATTAGCATTGACTAAAGCAATCATGAAACAGCTGAATAGAATCGACAAATTATTCATCATTATTTGATTGATTTCTGTGTTGTCGTTGATACCGTTGCAATATTTGAATGACTTTGCACTACGTTTTGATATTTGACAGTGATAAAGATGAATAAAATTACAAGGCTGAAATCAATTTCTTTGAAGATTGAGAAGAAGAACATGAAAAAAAAGAAACTATAGAAGAAACCTAGAAGCATATAAAAGAAAATATTTCTTATTGGATCAGTTTTTTTTCTTTATATTTTTATTTCTTCTTCTGTCAATCACATCGAAAATAATAATATTAAGAAAAAGAGAAAAATGTGTGTTTGAAGAATATAAAGTGATTTTTTGTTGTTGTTTCTTTTTCATTCCATTTTGCCATTCGACAAGGTAATCGTTATTTCGTTTTTTTTTGAAGCAAATTTTCAATTTTTAATCTTAAGCTACGATGAATGATTGACGACAACAACAACGATATTATGATAATTTTGGAAAGCTAGGATTAATAAGATTGATCGAAAAAACGTACTCATTTTTTTCGGTGATAGGAAATATCAAAGTTCGTCGTTATTTTGAATCAATGAATTTTTTTTCTTGATTCATTCAAAATGAATCTATTTGTGATTGAAGGCTTTCTCATTGGATGGCAATTTTTTCTTGGCCATGTCTAATGTAATCCAAACAAGATTGAACATAAAAAACAATGACGATAAGGAAATTTTCATACAATCGAAAACAAAATGATCGATCGATATCGGTCATCAGCCCAAAGAGATAAAAGTTGACGTTTGCAGTAAAAAAAAATCAAAACCTTTTTTCCATGATTTATTCATTAAAATTGATACCAGATGACAGCTCTGTCATTCTTTGATAAAAACTATTTCAAAAAAAAATCCAGTTCACAATCCATCTTCGGCCTGTTGTTATTAACTTTAATGATTCTGAGTTCGGTTTTTTTTTGGTCAGGAGAAAACAAATGTTACCACCACCACCGCCGCCGCTCCATTGTTGATAGCCAACCACTCCTCATGTTTGGTGTTCGACCAGAAACAAAACAAAACAATACTTCGTACAATGCACCACAAATGGCCGATCTGGTGTTTTCACTTTTCTCATCATCATCATCGTTGTGGTTGGTTTCTGGTTGTTTTTGTTTGGTGGGTTGTTCATCATTTGTCATTTGGTTGTCTGGTAATTTAATGACATAATAATTGTGTTGCCTTGCATTCACACTGGATATATCATCATTGTCTTTCGTTGATGATAATAATGGTGATGATGATTGTTATAGCTTGATTATTATAGCTCGCCATTAAAAATTCTATGTGAATCATTTTATTTGGATAAAAATTAATGATTGACATTGAATTTGATCTCGACTTAGCCAATCCATTATAATCTTCATCATCATCCATACTACCCTCTTTCTTTGAACATACATATTTGATCTTCCAACATTATGCATTTATACCCAACCATTTCTCATTGCCATTGAAAGTTTTTTTTCTTGAAAAAAAACGACAAAGAATATCGATTTTCTAATGATCTCAACTTCCCTCCTTAATGATACAATGAAACAATAAGCTTGATTCTTTGTTACCTATTATTGTTGTTACTACCAGTCTTGAAATTCTTTTTTATATTTGGCTACAACAAACACAAATATTGATTGAAAAAAAAGAAATGCTTTTCGTTTTTCCTAAATAAATAAACAAATTTATATGACAGTATTTTTCATTCATTAGAACATTTTTTTCAAAAAGATTGTTATTAAATTAACAACAATTCTACATTAATTCTTCTGTTATAATTTCTTCTTCCAAAAAACATTTAAAATCAACATTTTTTCACACCATTGATTTTTTATTTAATCAATAATGTTTTGCTGTCAAAATTCCGACGAGGTAATTGCCAACTTTTGCATGTTGAAAAAAGTTCAAAATCAATTTTAATTTTCAATTTTTGTATCTTTAAACAGGTACATCCTGCCGAAAAAGTACGCCGTAGAGGTAATCATTGTACCGATAAACTATTCGCAATCGTTTTTGTATTATACCTATGTGGTTTGGGTGCTATCGCATATTATGCATTCCAAATTGGGAATCCACTTCGAATGATACATGGATCCGATTCATTTGGCAATATTTGTGGTCAAAAAAATGAAAAAATCGATGATCTACCATTCACGGGTTTGGATCTTCGAAACCGGCCGAATCTTTTTCATTTGAATCAACGAGATCCAAAAAATTCAATCAAAATTTGTGTGAAAAAATGTCCAAATCGAGATTTGGTTAATATGGCTGAAATCTATCAGTTTTATACTCGTTATAATGCTTCGCTCTGTCGATATGATTTTGAATTTAATACAACTATGCCGACATCTAGTCCGTTACAAATATCTCAATTGTATCCAACATTGGATCAGCTTCAAGAACAATCACAAACATCGATCACTAACGATACTGGATTATGTCCTACTCTGCCAGTGTTTAAAAAGTAAGAAAAATTGGACCCCCTTTTGCGTTGATAACTTTTATTTGTTTTTATATTTTAGCCGACGATTGCTCTATTATTGTCTTCCCGAAATGGCCATCATTCAAGGTGTTGCATTGGGACATACAATATATGAGTTTATGTCAAGTCGTGTTCCTTTGAAAAAGATTGTTGGCGATGTAATCAATTCACATGAAGAAATGATTGTCATGGGTGTTGTAGCTATACTCGCTTCATTTATAACCGTATTTTGCATACATTTTGTTGCCAGTTTAGCATCATGGTTGATTCTTGTTGTTATCTCAGCCCTTTTACTAAGTTTAACAATTTTATTATGGTGGGTTTATTTCATGACGCGTAATGGAAAACTGTTACCAGAAAAATTAGCCAAACTATTACCTGAAGATTCGGAAAATGAATCAATTGTTTTGACAGTAGCTATCATATCTACAATTGTTACGTTGGTTATCATTTATGCTGCATCTAGTATGCGTTCTCATGTAAAATTTGTTGTAGCATTGTTTCAAGAAACTGGCGCATGTATTCGAACAATGCCTCTGATTTTGATTCAGCCATTATGGACATTATTAGCATTGATCGCATTTCTTGTCATTTGGCTATTCATATTAATGGCATTGGCCACATCGGATCAGGAATCTCGAGATCAACGAATGTTACAGACAACTAACGATAATGATTTACTTTCTGTTGGTTCTGCATACAAAAATAAACTCACATCATTCACATTAATTCGGTATAAAGATTCATCGGGGATACAATTTATGTGGTGGTATTTGCTCATTGCATTCATTTGGATATCTGAATTTCTTTGCTCTTGTCAACAATTAATTATTGCCGGTGCTGTATCCTCATGGTATTTCTCTCGTGATCGCGAAAATCTTGGATTTCCCATTCTTAATGCTACCCGTGATTTGGTCTGTTGTCATATTGGTTCGGTAGCATTAGGATCATTTTTAATAACAGCTGTAAAACTACCACGATTAATAATTCAACAAACAACAGCAAGATTAAGACGATTTGAAGAATATCGTTTGGCTCGAACCGCATTAAATGCTTGCGGTTGTTGTCTATGGGTCGTGGAAAAATTTCTCACCTATCTAACACGTAATGCCTATACGATGGTCGTATTGAGGCGAACAAATTTCTGCGTCAGTGCACGATTAGCTTTTCAGACATTATTCTCTAATACTCTTCGTGTGACTGCCATCAATTCGATTGGTGATTTCATACTATTTTTGGGCAAATTAATTGTCGCATCATTAACGGCGATTGTTGGCGTATTTTTGATTCGAGTAAGTAGATTTTGTGGTTTTCTTTTTTTTTATTTATCAAATTTTTTTAATTTATATTTAGTCAAATACTGCCATTCATTATTGGATGGTGCCTGTATTGATAATGACAATGTTTGCATTTTGGATTGCTCATTGTCTTCTTTCAGTATATGAAATGATTATCGATGCAATGTTTCTTTGTTTCTGTCATGATATGAATCAACATGATGGATCACCCGGTAATGAATATTATGCACCTGAATCATTAAGAAGATTTCTACATGAGGATGAACAAACAATGTCGGAAATACGACCAAATCAAACAGTATCAATGAGTGAAGATGAACCAGATATTAAGCGACAACAGCCAGGATCACAACAGGGAATGTATCCAGATCTTCATGATTATCAAACAATTCGCTAATGATAATCAATCAACCAATTTATGCAACGCTCGATTTAAACTATATTGCAACAAATTTGATTCAAAATAAAAACCATACAATATTATATTTTCATCATAAATATCATTACTACCGCCATCATCAACAATTATTCTCATTCAAAATTTATTCTATATAGTCTTAACATACATAATGCAAACATGAACACAAAAAAATGATTCCTCAAAATACTCATCTTTTTGTTCCACATAAAAAACAAAACCTATACCAAAGAATGTTTGAACTTGTTCTCATTTTTTTCTCAAACAGACAAAAACAAAAGAAATTTTGTTTTTCTTTTTAGTTCGGTTGTGCTAAAAATTTATAAACAGCATGATTGATAACGGCTGTGGATACCACACACACATTGCCAGTATTGATTTTCTTTATACCTCATTACCTTATTTTTTATCAATATAATCTGTTGAAAATGAATTTTTTCCAAAAAAAATTTGTTGATAAAAATTAAATTTGTTTTTTTTTGAATTACTATAATTACAATATCTGATTAGCCATTCATAAATGACAAAATTATTATCAATCGAAATATTTATCTGTAGTGTGGCTGGAAAATTTAAATCTAGACCACAATTGAATGATAATGAATTGCCAATATTATCATTGACGAACACAGTACAATATCAATCACGGATTGCATCATGGTCAATGTATTTTTATTGTTTTTCCGCTTTGTTTTCGGCAATGTCGATGGGCACTGTGATTGGCTGGAGCTCGACAGCATTGAATAGTATGAAAATGGATTATTCCGTACCGCGGATTCGACCGAATGAACCTATCGATATCAATTATATGACATGGATGGGTAGTTGTATGACATTAGGTGCATTATTTGGGAGCCTATTTAGCGGTATGATGCTATTTCGGCTATAAGATTAATAAGTAATCCAAATTTATCTTTTATTCAGGCATAATTATCGATCATTTTGGACGGCGAATTATTCTAAGTACTTTGGCTATTCCATTCACTATAGGATGGCTTATTATAAGCTTTGCACAATCATTTTTAACTATCATATTTGGTCGTGTCATTACTGGAATTTGTGTTGGAATTATAGCTAGCACAGTACCGGGTTATGTGGCCAATATTGTTACACCAAATCGACGTGGATTTTTAGGTACTTGTTTTCAATTACTATGTAGTATTGGTGCATTATCTGCAGCTTGTTTCGGTACGATTTTTTCATGGAATCGATTGTCATTAATTTCAATCATACCAGTAATTATATCATCAATTGGAATGTGTTTTGCGCCAGAATCTCCTATTCGTTTGGTTCAACGTAATCAATCAAAAGCAGCATTACAATCATTAAAACGACTTCGATCAAATGGAAGTGACATTATGGCCGAACTTATTGAATTGGAGAATAGAATCAAATCAAGTAGACAATCACATGCAAAATCAAGCATAAAATCATTGTTTAAACGGCCAGACGTTTACCATCCATTGATCATTGGTGTGATGCTTCAATTTTTCCAACAATTTTCTGGCATCAATGCCATCATGTTTTATCTCGTATCAATATTCAATGATTCTGGTTCAAATATTGATCCACAATTAGCATCAATAGTGGTCAATTTCGCACTATTCATTTCTTGCTTATTCTCTGGATTATCCATGGATTTTTTTGGTCGTCGATTATGGCTATTCATATCTGGTTCCGGAATGTTCATGACAATGTTGATGATGGCATTACATTATCATTGCAATTTAAATGATAAAACTAGTTCAACACCTTTGATTTGTTTGATTATATTTTCTGTTTCATTCGCCTGTGGTTATGGTTCAATACCTTGGATGATTGTGAGCGAAATCACGCCACCTGAAGCTGCCGGTCTTGTTGGATCATTTTCGGCTGCAACAAATTGGCTTTGTGCATTCATCATCACCAAAGAATTTGAAGATCTTATATATTTATTAGGAAAAGAAGGTTTATATTTTTTATTTTCATTGTTTAGTCTCATATCTATATTGTTTGTTATGTTTTTCGTTCCGGAAACAAAACGAAAAACATTGGAAGATTTACAAAATCATTTTTTAAATAATTATTAATATCGAATTCTTAGTCTTCTAGAAATAAAATATTGTCCCTGATGAACAAATAATGAAGCAAATGGAATTAATATTTGTGCTTCTTTTTTTTCTCGTGTATTTTTTTTCATTATCTGAAATAAATGTAAATTTCTTTGACTGATTTGCCATCGAATTGAATGTGCAAGCCATACTTTTGTCGTTATCATAATCAAACGTATTGTTTGCATTATGAACAATGCACAGCCATCATAATCGATTGTTTTTTCCACATATAAATGTTGACCATGTTCATCCATCATATCGAGTATACGAAAAAGGCCGGTACCAAAAATTACTTGATAACCAACAAAACGAATATTTTTAAATAAATATGGCCATGATAAATGCATATAATACCATTGTACCACTAATAAAAATAAATCGGCAACTGAAAATCCAAATAAAAAGCGTGCCATAAAACTTATTGTCAATATATTTTTTTCCATCAAAATTGGTGGTTCAGGAATATCATCATTAGCCCAAATAATTAACATAGCGATTATTATCGCTGACCAAATAGAATAATAAAATTCTTTACGTGGAAGTTCCATATAAGTTGGCATAAAAACAATTAAATCTAATAATGGTGTGATAAATATTAAAGCAAAACTAATAGCAAAATGCCATTGTAATGCTCTCCAATTAAATCGATATAATGGTTTTGGTTTTGGTCGATATTTTATTCCTTCCATATCGATTTGAGACCGAGATTTGATCGAATTTTGTTGATTTTATTTCCAATCAACGATTTTTTTTTAAATCAAAATAAATTAACTTAAACAAAATTAAATTAAATTAAATTAAATTAAAGTTTTTTATTTTGGGAAAATAATCGACGCTAAAATATGTGTCATTGATCATCATTTTTATTTCATTTTAACACAAAACAAAAAGGGAGAGAGAGATTAGATATCAGTAATATGTGTTACAGTTTTCGAAAAAAATGTTTCTATTGTAAACAAATGGTCAAATGGTTTATTTTTTTTTAGTTGACGCCTTTATTCATTGAACGAATGACAATAAACCCTATAATTGGGTACATTTTTTTCTTTTTAACAAAAAAAATTAACCCAAAAACGGCCTATTGTAAATATAATTCAGAACACCAGAAAAAATTATTCCAATAATAATTATCCGATCTTGTAGCGGGTAAATTTTTCTGCAGCCATTCAATTTGTTCAACAATTTTTTCATCATTATCGAAATTGATATGACAATTGTCCCATGAAATCGATGATTTTGTTGTTGTTGTTGATGATGATGATGATGACAGATTGTCAACATCTTCACTACCATAGATTGCCTGATAATGAATCAATGATATCCGGGTGCATTGATCGAATATTGTTCGATTATTATCACTAAACAATTGTTGTAATAATTGTGGACATTTTCCATAAAAAAATTGTCGCATAAAATTTTTCACTGTACGTATTGAACATTGAAGATCATGTGCACAATGTTCAAAATCTAATGGATAATCAAACCAACGATAACGATATGGTGAAGAATTATTGGCCAATTTCCAATATGATTCAGTCAAACGAAATGGACCACAAAGATATTTATCCGGTTCAATTACACGACAACGAGAATTTCGTTGACATCCAGATGAAGCCTAATAATAAATAGTTTTTATACGAGAAAAAGAAAATAAAACAAAGTAAATTACCGCACAAATACATCGATAACATTCATCATTATCAAATAATGATGACCATTGATGATCAATCTCTTGATAATGATTATTATTGTTTTGTAAATTTTCTTTACCGATAACATCGATAAATAATATTGATACAACAAAAAAACATTGATAAATGTTCAACATGATAATGATGTTCGATTGCCGAAATTTTAATTGTGATGACAAGTTGATAAAACAACAATAACAACAATAATAGTCTTTAGAATATAATCATTATTGTTAAACGAAAAAAAACAACAACAGAAAAAAAATTGACTTTATCGATTCGAACAATCTTTAAAATGATTGAAACATTCACCCGAAACAAAATGATGAGCGGTATTGGCCAAATGAATTCGTCATGCTTGTCAAATTATCTATGCCATCAATATATAGACAACATATGAGAATGTGATTTGAAAATTGATCTGGTTTTGTTTTTGTTTTGTTTTTGAAAATTAAAAATCTAAACCAATCAAATCAGTCTGGTGTATTGTTGAGTTTGAAGAATAGAAAACGTTTTTAATATTAGCAAAGAGCAAAAAAAAAGAATTGACAATAAAAACATATAAAACAAATGTTTGAAACAAAATAAATAACGATCGATGTACATTGAGAATATATAATGCTAAATAATACATGAGAAATGATGATCAGAATTGGAAAAAAAATGCAAACGAAATGAAATGAATGAATTTTTTTTTAAGAAAAAACAAATGTGAAAAGAATTATATGACACAAATTGATCAAGTCTGACAACGACATTTGGTTATAATTTGAATTTTTTTATATTGAAACGTATGTAATAATGGTCGTTCAATTTGTCCATTCTCAATATCATCCATATTTGGTGTTTCGATTGGATCGCCACCACCACCAACACCACCATTATCATCATCCGTATTCATTGCAATCAATGAAATTTTATTTGTATCAAATCCATCTACATCATAATCGATTGAATCGATTGTTGCCGATGATGATGACAATGAAGAAGATGGACGTGAAAAACGATGTCGAAATAATGGACAACGAAGACGAATAATTTTCCAACGATATCGACGTGGTGAACAAGTACAACGTGATTGAAATGGTAATGTTTGATTCGATTCGGATGGTATATAAAATGAATTACAATTTCCAAAACAATAATTATTATTAACAATACGACTTTTACATCCTGGATGTTGAATTTTTTGTTCAAATGGTACAGTTTTACAAGAACCTTCACGGCTATGTTTAGCTAACATTGATGGTAATGCTTTTCCCAAATTTGAATATATAATTGATGAACGTAATGATTCAAAAGATTGTCGAGAATAATTGGCAGGAATCGATGGTTTACGACGACGATTATGATTACGTCGTCGATGTCTTATTGGTTGTACATCATCGTCATCATTATTATTGAAACGATTTCGTTTCCGATTTGTTTGTGTATGTCGTTGCATACGACTTAATTGAAGATAATTGGAATTTGGTACACGTTCAAATATTGGAATTAGGCCATCATCATTATCATACATTTTATATGATAATAATTCCGAATTTTTTGGCTTTATTTTGATTGTCGATACTGTTGTTGACGTTGTTGATGATGATTCATTTACTTCATTCATACAAACTGGAACAATGATAGTAGATATTAACAGAATTATCACAACGAAAAAATAATACCAGAATCGATCGATTCTATGCCTATTAATCAATTTGATGATTGTCATTGTTGACAAGTTTTTGTTTTTGTTTTCGTTCACACGAATCAATTTAAATCACGTTTGTTTTTAATTATTTACAGAATGAATTTTTTGATTAGAAAAAAAAAACATTATTTGTCAACCATGAATTGTAAGTATGAAACGTCGAACACAACAACATTCAGAATGGAAGAGAAAAAATATTTTTCTTTCTGGCTACTTGGTTCGGTCATCAACAAGTATGAATGAATTATGATAAACAAAATGAAAAAAAAAGAAAAGAAAAAACAAACTTAAACGATGGACACAAACACACACACACACACAATTATTTCATAATAAACAAAATGCATGGATTCACCGTTTTTTTTTGCTTAACTTTGATTGTTGTTGCCTGTTTTTTTCTGTCGTCGGTCGAATTTTATCTTGGATGGCGTTACCATTTTTTCAAAAACGGTATCAAAATAAATGGGTACTGTGTGAATGTATGGGCATTAGCATTGTACACATTACTTAGTTCTTCTTCACTGTGTTCTGTTCTGTTTTGTTCTGTTTATACACATATTGCCGCTACCGCCTGTCGTTAATCGATTTGACCAATCAAACAATTTTCACTGATTTCAATTTGACCAATCACTATTCACTAAGAATTTTTTTTCGTTCGATTAACGCATGTGTAAATTTTATTCAAATTTATTTTCGTTTTTTGCCCCGAATGAATTTCGACCCGGTTTTTTCTTTTTTGGTTGATGTAAAACAGCTGTGTTTAAACAAAGCAAAAAAAATTACAATTTTTTCACTTTCATTTGGTTCCAATTTGGTGTTTTTTTCTACGAAAAAAAGAGAAAGAAAATTCCATTTTAGTGATTTTTTTCTTTCTGTTATCTTGGGTGTCATTTGATTTTTGAATATTATTTGGGTTTGATTCCTGAAATAGAAGGGTTAATCGTTCATTTGGTAATCTCATTTTTTTTCATTTTCTTTTGTTATTTTTTGTTGACACTCTCAACATGCACACACGCATATATAACCTGTTGTGCACAACTAATTGAACCAATATATCAAGCTGAGCAACAAAATTGGAATCCAAATCACAAAAAAAACAGAAGCCACTGATAGAATAAGAAAAAACCCAAAAAGTTATGTTCGTTCATTCAAAAAAAAAATTCAATTCAATTCATTCATAATATTCTGGGTATGTAATTTAAAGAAAAATAAAAATTTACCACCATGTCAAGTTATTTTGTTTTCTTTATTTCTCATTTTTTTTAAATGAATTCTTTTGGCCCAGGTGTTCACAACAACACTTGACATTCTTTATTCGTTGGCCAACACAGGTGTTATATTGTGTGTTTATGTGTGTCAACAAGTTGTTGATAGATTGGCCAGAAAAAATATATGTCAAATTTTTTATTTGAAAGAATATTGTGGAATTTTTGTTTTTTCTTTCAAAATTTAGCATATTTACTTGTTGAAAATTTTGTAAAATTTGAATTGGATTGCTGTTATTGATTATCCATCATTTTTGGATTTAATCCTATTGATCCTAATCATCAACATATAAAGAATCCAACGAATAATAATCAAAAAAGAAGAAGAAAATCAACAAAATTGAAAAAAGACTGGCGCCATAGGTCGAGACTATGTATGTATGAAAAACTTATTTCTATCAATATCAGATGATTTTGAAAAAAATAATGTCTGATGCTGATGTTCCTAGGCGAAAAAATAAAAAATAAATGCATCCACAATTTGTTCATGGATGATCATCATCATATTCATTGATGAACCCTACGATCAACCATTATTTTCCCTCAATGATGATGATCATCATCATGAAGATGAAATGAAAATGGACCCTTAAGAAAAAGATGAATAACAAGATGAAAAAAAAATCTTAGGAACGAACGATATGAGAAAAGCTGTCACGATTTTTGTTTCGGCTGTTCGATTTTTTCTTTCTTTCTCGGTTCATATTCTTTTTTTTTTGCTACAAAGCTACAGACAGGCGCCACAATTATTATCGACAACGAATTACTATGGCTAGCCAATGTGGCCGCCGCCGACATCATCATCATCATGATCCTCGCGTTCAGATTCTCATATTGATGATGATGATGTTTGATAATCAGAAAACAAAAATCAAATCAACCAGAAAAAAAATTGAATAAATGGCAAAAAGAAGAAAAAGAAAAACCACTCCTTGGTGGCAATGATGATGATGAAGATGGTGGGTGATCATCAACAAATGATGTTCGACCCATATAAAAGAAAGAAAAGAAAGATAGATAGAGAGATAATATCAATAACCAAATTTACAAATTAGCGGCAATAATCATTCTTTTTTTTTGTTGCCTGTTGTTATTGTTGATGATGATCAATGAAGATTATCTATGACTCATCATCAAGCTACGTCAAATCATCATCATCGTCGTCTATATATTGGTCTAGTCTATTTCTTTTCTATTTGGCCATGGTCAATTTATCTATCTTAACAATTAAAGAATTTTGGGAAGAAGAAAAAAAAGATTTACAAATTAGATCAGGCATATTACAAATATAAACTAAATGAAGACAAATGGTCGTCTTTTCGTTTTCATTGTCGTCGTCGTCTTCGTGGTTTTCATTTATTTTTCTGCTAATTCATTTACTGATGTGCATATTGGTCCGTTTTTTTCTGAAGATGATGATGAGATGATGATGGTGGTCTATGGTTTCGATTTGATTTTTTTTTCATTATCAATGTTATCTTTAAAGTTATTTTTTTTTTGTATGTATGTTGTAAGTATAAGTGATCGACTTTGATTTAAAACCGGCCAATTTTTTTTCTCCTAATTTTATTTTCTGTTTGATTGGTCATCACAAAAAACGTAGAACCAAAAAAGCACCCACACCAGACATGATTGAAAAATAATTTTTTTTTTCCTTAGGTCTTGGTTGTAAATCGAAAACATACACACGACACACAAACAAACATTTTGTTCTGTCATCAATTAGGTTCGTGTGGCTAATTAAGTTTTTCAATTCATTCATTTTTTGTGTGTGTATTTTTGTTGTCTAGTCTGATTTTTTCGCATTTAGTTTCGTTTCTATTGATTTTTTTTTTTTGGTTTTCGATTTAACGTGATCAATGATGATCCAGATTTTGATCTAGAGATTTTCAAAAATCTGGTCCAAACAAAACAAAAAAAAATATCAAGCCCCCTCCATTGAAAGTAATAAATATTTGTGCGAAAAAAAGGTGTGAACATAAAACGAAATTCAATTTCCTGTGTCAAGGGTATCAACTTTTTTTTTGAGCAATTTGTCATTTGTCAAAGACATTTACTACTTGACCAAATTTTTTTTTGTCAAAATGTCAAATAATAATAAAAAAAAATCAAATGATTCGATTGAAATAGAAAAATTGAAATGAATGAACCGAATATAAATACGGAAAGTTGTGCCATCATCATCATCACCAACATACACAACGATCAACTTAGAAATGATTTTATTGTTTACACAAGGAGTTGGTCCATCGGATTTTTTTTTTGAAACTGACAAAGAAGTTTTTTTCCATGACTTTTTTTTCATCTGAATCGAGTTTTTTATTATTGTTATTTCAAATTTCATTTAATTTTTTACGTCATTCAGGTAAAAAACAACACCTCAAGGATCAAACGAATTCTTGAAATCGAAATCAAATTCGAATCAATCTGAATTTTGTGTTCCCTTTCTTTTTCTATCTCTCTCTCAAACCCACCTACAATTTTGAAGTTGTTTTCCAAACCAAACAAAAAAAAGATGAGAAAATTTTTCCATCATCATCTTCTGATCAGCAGGTGTTCGAATTTTTATTGATTCATTTGGCAAAGAATCGATCGGTGTGAAAAAAAATTTGATTCATAATTTTAATTCAATAAAAATTGAAGAATAAAAAATAAAATGAATGAAAGATACATACATTTCATTAAGACGAAATGTAAATATTGCATCCTCTATTTTCTACCACCATCAAATATCTTTATGATTTGTTCCAAAACATATTTGCAGGATAATCATTTGACATACATAACACACACACACACACACCACTCTCTTGGACCAACACACACAAAAATGCCCCCATTGATTTGTTTCATTGGTATGTTCGGAATGTGTGTGTGTCAAAGTCAATGATTTGTTTCGGAATTTTTGTAATCTTTTTCTTTCTACATTTTTAAATGGGACATTTATATGGTTTGAAAAAAAAAATTTCCTTTCTCTACACTTTTTCCCGATCTAATTTGCCAGGAAAAAAATGGTTACATATAAACACACGCGCGCATTTACACACATTATAAACAATCTTTTTCCTACTAACTTTCAAGATGAAATATCTTATCTCTCTCTTTCTCGCACACCAATTTTTTTCTCCAACACCTTTCAAATATGATCAAAATGATGATGATGATGATGAAAAAAGCCGACAAGGTGATCTAACCTGCATCAAATCTCAGCATGGATCCAACAAGTCGGAACAATAATAGCAAAATGAAAAGAATTCCTTTTTTTGAAACAAATTTCAATGTTTGAACAAATTATAAACGAAAGGAAAAGAATTTTTTTTACAATCATCATTATTACACAAGAAATTCGTTGGAAAATAAGATTCTTTTTTTCTGGCTTCGTGTGAAAATAAAAATAAAATTTAAATCAATTTTAACATTTTTGTTTTATTGCAAAAAAATAAATGAAATAAAAATCAAATTTGATTTCCGTCTGACGGCTAAAATCAATGAAGTGAGTGAATGAATGAATGAGAGAGATACATGTTTTTCCTAACAAAATCGGATTAGTAAACATTCAACTTGTTTGGGATGTGTTTCGATCAATGTAAATTGAAATATGTGTACAGTATGTGTATTGCGATGTTTAAACGTTTAGGGATTATGTTGTCAAAAATGGCGACAAACTCCAACTGTGATCATCATCATTTTGATGATTATGATGATCGGATTTAAAGATGCCATATGAATGATGATTTTCCTATTCATTCATTCATTTAGTTTGAAACTAATTGTTTATTGTTCAATTGAAACAAATAATATCTTGTAACAACAACAAGCAATGAAAAATTTGGATTGCCACACCTATCGGCACGTGTGATTATCAACCAAGACAACAACAACAAAAAAACGTGTACCATTAACAGAAAAAATTATGATCGTGATCTATGATCTGTTGATGATGATGATGATGTGATTGTTGCGTGATAATGACATCCTGTTTATTAATGATAATAATAATTCTTTAATTGATTTTTCATGTTCATCTTTAATTTAACTTATGGAATGTGTGTATGTGAAGAATTGGCAAAAAATGTTGAAAAATCGAGATTTTTTAACAAAAGAAAAAAAAGATTTTCGCGCTCATTCAAATTTGAATCTTTGAACATTGTTTATGAAAGGTCGTAAAAAACTTGAGTTTCGCGAAAATAATTATTGCATCACATCAGCTGTGTGTGTGTGTTTGTATCAATGCCAAAAATTATTTATTTGTCTCAATACGATTTAACTGAAAAGAGTGTAAGAAGCATGACTTTGCATTAATTTCGCATTTTCTTTTGTTTCAATACGGTAATTATTTCTTTCTTTTTTGTTTGTTTTTGTTTTACCTTGCTCTTTTGATCGATCTCGATCATGTCGGTGACAAGACCAACAGCAAATCCATAAATCAAATTTTTTCCCATCATGACCATTTTCATCGACCACTGATCATGTAGTCTACATGTCAAAATATATTTGTTTTAATTTATTCGTTTTATTTTATACCCCACTTTTATCCGGTGGGTTACTTTATTGTTTTTTAAAAATGTATTTACAATGATGAATTTTGTTTTACTTTTCCCTCTTCTTCATCACATAGATAGCTACGACAAATACGAAACATTGGCTTAATATATTCATGTGGAAAAACTGATGATCATTCTGTTCATTTATACCTGGTGAAAAAAATTAATTAATTCATTCGAAAAAAAACAATACGACAGAAAAGATGGTGATGAATAGGAAACAGATTACCATTACCAACAATGGTGTTTCTTCATCAGGTAGTGGCATGAAATTATTGTCATCGAAAAACAATTATTTTCAGACTAAAAAAAATGGTAACAATGATAGTGGTGGTGGTGGCCATATTTTGATGGTTGTTAAAAATGGTAATCACGTTTACCAGAATAAGACGAAAATCGTTCAAAACAGAAAACAGATCAAAATCGAAGACAACGATGATGAAGCTCAACGAGCCGTCGAATCATTGATCAAACAGGAACCATTTGATTTTGATAAGTTTGATTCATTTTCAGAAGAAGATAATTCATTATTGACTGCATCTGATATGGATTCTGAATCATCAAATAATAACAACAATGATAATGATCAAACTATGAATTGTCAATCGTATAATAACAACGGACAGAATCCAATCATCAGTGATGATCTACTTGTTACACTAACTGTACGTGAATTAAATCGTCAACTAAAAATGACCGGCATGTCTAAATCCGAAATGATACGTATGAAACAACGGCGACGAACATTAAAAAATCGTGGCTATGCTGCCTCATGTCGAAATAAACGTCTTGAACAAAAAGGTGATCTTGAGAATGTAAAAGTTGATGTCGTACAAACGGTTGAACAATTAAATGAATTGATTGCTAAAACAAAATCTGAAATCAATGATTTCAAACAACGATACGAATCCTTGAAACAGTATGCTATTCAACAACAATTAGAATTACCACCTGAGTTTGATTATTTTATTAATGAACATCGATAATGTAATGTAATATATATTATTTAGATTTATAAATATCATCATATAGATATCATCTTGTTTTGTATATAAAAAAATAAACAAAAATTGCATCGCTCATTTTTTTCACACTTTTTCTTACAACGCCAAAATCAAAAATCAAAGCATTCTCTAAAATCGGAATAATATTTCGAATCAAGATACCATTGAGCCCCACAATGTTTAGGACCACCAATATGTAATGCAGCATAATCATTACAATCAATATGACCATCTTCATTACAATCTTTACGGAAACGTTTTAGATATTCGGTTACAGTTTTATCTGCGCATTCACGATTATTCATACACATTTGAAAATTTTCAACATTCGATAGATCGGCACGATTTCCAGGTTTACCTGCTTCCATCCAATATTCCCAATCAACCTGATATGATCCACATACATATTTACCCGTCCCTTCGGATCGACAACCAATTGATGGATTACATTTACTTGATGCCTATTAATCGAAAATTAAATAATTAATTAATTTGTGATTGTTTTTGTTTGAAATAAATGATTTCTTACATAACAGATACATTCTAAACACTCAACTGTAACCAAATTATTTGTTGTTGCATTTTGTCTTGAAAGTGGTTTTGGTCTTGGTGGAGATGGCGGTAAAGGTGAAGGCTGTCTTGGAATTTCTGAAACATTTGGCTGCTCATTATGTGACGATGACGGTTGATCCAACGGTCTTGGTTGACTAAAAAAATCGTCATTATCACTAATAACTGGCCGTCGTGGTTCGATAATGGCTGGTGGTTCTTCAATTATTTCGACTGGTTTCGGTTGTAATGTAGGTGGACGTGGCCTTATTTCCGGTATATTTATTCGACTCGGATCATTTGAATTGATTGGTGGTTTAATTCGAATGATAATCGGCTGCGATGTGTTTAACGTACCTAAATCGATTCGCGTTGGAGGTCTTGGTGGCGGTGGTGATCGTAAATGATTGTTGTTTGTATTAATTAAATCACGATTATTCACTCGGATCACCACGCCTCTAGGTTGTGGTTGTTCAATATTCGATTCATCTTCATTTGAATTAGGTGATGGACGGATGAATGGCTCACTAGAACGTGTAGATATTATTGGTTGTGGTCTTGGTACTTCAACTAGTACTGGTCTAGTTGCTGAATAAAAGATAAACAATTATATTCTGTTGAATGCAATTCAAGAGTCTAATTCTTACATCGTGCTGGCTTGTTTCCACTTTCAGTTTGATGGCATTGGCTGAATTGATTCCAATAATCAGTCGATTGCAGTGCTTGAATTTTTTCGCATCCGTGTGGTCCAAGTTTATGAATCAATGCAAAATCAATACAATCAATCGTTCCATCATGATTACAATCACGTTTCCATTTAGCCATATAACCTTGAATGGCTGTTTCAGAACATGGTTTTTGCTTTGAACAGGTAGCATATTCACCACCTGGTTTTCCACCATCAGCCCAATATCCCCAGCTCAAAAGATATGGACCACAATAAGCACCATCACACCCTTTGTTTAAATCACATTTGCTACTTGCATGACATAAACATTGAAGACAGTCATAAGGTATCAATTCTTGAGCTTCAGAAACAACAATTTCTTCAGGTTCTTCAACATTTGAAACTGAATTCATTGCTGAGGAATAATCTTCGCGTCTTATCGAAGGAGACGGTGAATTTTGAAAATTGAATCTAATTGGTTTTATACGATTAAAATTCGCCGAAGGAACTAGAACCGGACTGGATGGTTGAGGTTTATTGACAAAAACGCCTGGAATGGGCTATATAATAAATTTTGCATCAATGAAAATGCATTGATAATTGTTAATTTTTCAAAAATTTACCGGAATCTGATTTGGTCGATTCAATGATCCTAATCTTCTGGGCGAAGATGGTAATGGTGGATATGTTTCAACGATTTCAGTGCCAATTTCATCGTTACCATTTCCAATTGATGTTGATGCAACAGTTAATGGATTACCATTGTTTGAATCAAATCCAGCAGTAGCTGAGGCCGATGCCGATGCTCCTGGAACCGATGCAGATGCTCGGGCATGTACTGGTGGCAATATCAATGGAGGTGGTAATGGTGGCAAAAATGGAGGCTTATTTCTAGGTATTTCGATCACTTTTTTTCATTTAAAAAATAGGCATTTAAAGTATTGTTAGAATAAAATATAGTTTTTATCATACTTGTATTGTATGGTGAATTGGAATTGTCCCTGAAGGATGTTTCCGTTGATAATGATGATGATGATGATGATGAATGTGAATAGCATTGTTGAAATTCAAGCCAATATTTACTTTCAAGAAGCCATGATGGTTGACATGATCCGGAAGGTCCGGCCTATAATCAATTATAATTTGTAATGATGTGATTATAATTAGAAATGAATGTATAATTAAATTTAAAATTATTATTACTATCATCATATGAATTAATATAAATTTATTTCACACTTTTCAATAATCACCTGTTGTCATTGAATAATTAAATAAATAAATTTAATAAAAAAAAAGATGGCAATAAAAATTAACTGACACTGACCTTGTGTATGGCAGCGTAATCAAGACAATCAACATGGCCATCACCATTACAATCATTTCCATATTTTTTCATATAACCACGAACAGCAGCTTCGGAACAGGATTTTTTTACTAAACATTGTTCAAAATCATTAGCAAAACCGGCATCACCTGGTTTACCGGCATCAGCCCAATATGCCCATGATATTTGATATGGTCCACAATAATATTGTCCATTACCACTATTATGGCATTGTATATTTCGTTTACAGCCACTTGATGCCTGACAAATACAATCCAAACAATGACGATCCGGTTCGGATAAAGAAATATTCACATCTAGAATAATCGAATAAAGAATAATCTGTAAAACTATTTTCAAAAAAAAAAAATGATTAGAAACCAAGAGAAAAAATCAAACAAATAATAATATTTACTTTTCATTATCATTCCCATTTTTTATGTATCAGTACCGAACTGAATCGGTTAGTACCCAAAAAAATAATTCAATATAATAAAAAACAACAGCAACAAAATGTTTTGAAGTTTTCCGTTCTTTTGTTCATTGACGAATGATCAACCCCACCGTAATGATAGAAAAATTGAAAAAAACATTTGTAATTGATTTAAATAATGATAATGCTAACACATGAAATTCAGTACGATTGATGGTGATGATCATTTTGTTGTTGTAGTCATCAACATCGTCATTATTGAAGGTTGATTCTTTCATTTCTTTTGCCTGTCAACACCATTTTTATTAATAAAAAATATATCCAAATGTTAATAACAGACTCTTTTCCTTTTTTTTGAATTCCTTCATTTCAGCAAATTGAAGTACACATCTTATCGCGCCATGGTCAAACAACAAACACATCATCAATCGTATTCATTTATTTAAAAACGTGATTAGAATTTATTTATAATTTGTTAAGGGTGCTAAAAGTGGGTGTGTTATAATAATCTTATTCTTTCATTTTTTCATGTTTTCTTTTGTCAACAATTGAAATCGTAGAAAAAATTTTATACGGGGATTTCCAAATCGGAAGCAATCAAATTTTAAAAAAGTTTCTTATTATGATAGTCATATGATTGAAAGGAAATTTTTTGTCTGTTTGTTTTTTTCTTATAATTCATTGCAATCAATTTTTTTGCTTTTGTATCGATTATATTTAGATTTTTAGAATCATAGATGTCAGAATTTTTGATTCATTAAATGTTGATGATTATTCATCTACAACGGTAAACAATATTTATCTATATCCAATCATTGCAATTAAGGCATAAATCATCATCAAACCAATCGTTAAAAATGTCCATTCTATTCATATACGGCTTTTTAATTTAATTTTAAACAATTAAAAACTTTTTATAGTTTTTTTGAAATTTTCCCAATTTTTTTTTGATTCGAAATTTTTTTTTGTTAGCAGTGCCATCTTTCGTAAAATATCCCAATAAAAATGTTCTGATAATGAGCATCGATAGATGTGGAGATTGTGAGAATCACGCTGCTGACATCGTTCGCTTTCATTGTGCTACTTATACACGTGTCTTTGCAAAAGTTTTCATTTCATTTTTTTTCATTTCTTCTTAGATTTTTGTTAGGCTGATACCAAGCTGAAATAATTGTTTAATTTTTTTTAAATTTAATTATTTATTGAATTTCATTCGTATTCAAGAATAAACAATAATGCTCAACATCGGTGGAGATATCAATTCGGATCAAGGCTTGAAAAAGCTTGATGAATATTTGGTTGCACGTAGCTATATTGAAGGGTAATTATCATAAGCCGGCTAATTATTTTGTGTTTGATCATTTTTTTCCTAATCATTTATTACATTTTTATTCAAATTATAACAGTTATACACCATCTCAATCGGATATTGTTTTGTATGGAGCTTTGAAAAACGTACCCACTAAATATTCACATGCTCTTCGTTGGTATAACCACATTAAAAGCTACCAATCGGAAAAGGATAAACTTCCAGGTGTGAAAAAATCATTGCAAGATTTTGGTGTCACTGGAAGTGGTGCTGGTGCTAAAACAGCAGCTAAAAAAGATGACGATGATGATGACATTGATCTTTTCGGTTCGGATGATGAAGTTGATGAAGAAGCCGATAAAGCACGTGAAGAACGACTTAAAGCTTATGCTGAAAAGAAATCTAAAAGTATGGTTTTTGTTTGTAATTAAATTCCGAAATCAATTTCAATTTCGTTTTTCTTGGAACAGAACCTGGGCCGATTGCTAAATCAAACGTTGTTTTAGATGTAAAACCTTGGGATGATGAGACCGACATGAAAGCTATGGAAGATCGCGTACGTTCAATTGAAATGGATGGCCTTAAGTGGGGCGCTTCCAAATTGGTGCCATTAGCATATGGAATTAGAAAATTACAGATTGTCTGTGTTGTCGAAGATGATAAAGGTATTTTGTATAATTTGAAAAAAAATTCTCAGAATAATCATTTCGGTTCTTTCAATAACAGTGAGTATCGAAGAATTGTCCGAAAAAATTGAAGCATTCGAAGATTTTGTACAATCAGTCGATGTGGCTGCATTTCAAAAAATCTAATTAACAGCCCAAATATTTTCGTCCATCTCGTTTGAATTCTGTTTTCAATCGTCAACGATTTGCTTTTTCTTAAAAAAACAATTTATTTAAAATTTCAAAAAGAATAAAATAAAACGAATTAAAATTTTCAATCACGAAAAAAATTCACAATATCACATGTTTTGCGTCAAAAAAAAAGTTGGGGGCAAATATAATTATTCATCTTTGGGATTATTTTCATGGTTCAAAACAAATTCGGATAATAGAGAATGAGATATGCTTGCTAATTGAATTGATGAACTAATTTTTCAAATAAATATCACAAACAATTTTGTCGAATTAATTGATTATCAGCCTTTGATACGTTTGGAAAGTTTTTTGAATGCATTTCGAAAATCTGGGCTGTAAAATGATGATGATTAGATTTGTTATTTGATTAATTTGATACAGATACCTACCTAAATATTGTATATAAAAATGGATTTAATGTTGAATTAGCCCAACCAAGCCAAATAAAAAAATCGAATGCATATCTATTTATATAACAATGATTACCACATAATGGCATAACTAATGCAATAACAAAGAATGGAAGCCAACATATTATGAATACACCTGATATTTTACAAAAAAAATAATCAATTGATTTATTTTAAATTATTAACAAATCAAATTAAATTTACATACCAGTTATTATTGTTAACGTTTTAGCAGCTTTACTTTCTTGTTTACTATCATTCTGTTGTTGTTGGCTACCATTATTATTATCGAAACGAAGAATTTTATTTTTAAATTTTAATTTTTTAATTCTTCGACGTTTATGTTTTTTTGAGGATGAAGATGATGTTGATGGATGTTTATGTCGATGATAATGATGTTGTTGTTGTTGATTGTTTGAATGTCCGATTGTTAATGATAATGGATTGTCCGTTTCTTTTACCGTGGGGGATAAAGTTGAATGAACATTAATTTTTCGTAATTCTGATGTGTTCAGATTAGTTATAGGACTTTCTGAGGAACATTCTTTGAACAAATCTTCCTCAATTATTGGCGGTGTTTGTGTTTCATTTGCATTCAAATCATCATCATTATTGATTGTGACAGCAATCTCATCAAAAGGATTATCAACAAATTCATCTTTTTCATTGATTTGATCATCAGCGGTTATTTTTGCAATTATATTATTGCCATCGCCGCGACCACTTTGTCCATCATAATGATAATATGGAACACCATTACCACTACTGCAATTTTCGGTTGGATCACAGCTACTACATATTGTTGAACCATAATCATCAACATAGACGACAATATTCGATGTTGGTTCAGCTCCTATTATGATTGTCGATTCATCAATCGAAGTTTCATTTGATCGCAAATCATTATTGTCACAATAATCATCAAAATGTGTCATGGAAAATTTTCCATCATCATCCTCATCATCATTATCGACATCAATAAAGTCATCATCGAATTGTTGATCGACAGGTTGTGGATGGAAAAATTGAACTATAGAAAAACGCTTTGTTGATACAGCTGGATGTTGTTCCGTTGTCTGTAACGGTTTAAGCGTATTAATAGCAGGTGGACTAATTGAAATGATTGAAGATGTTTGATCAGTTGATAATGTTGTATTCGTTGTCGTATTCGTATTGGTAGTATAATCAGTATTGGTTGATGATGAATAAACACCAGATGTTGATGATGGCGGTGGTTGAATGGCAGTTGAAGTACTAAAAAACTCTTCATTCGTATTAATCGATATTCTATGTGTAACACGAGGAAATTCTTTTAATTCAGATTCTTTACGTGTACGATAAAATGATGGTCGTCTTCGTATACGGTATTGATATCGTTGTTTTTTCAATTTCAAACGAGTTTTTGCCACTTGATATATTCTATGATATATTATACACGATAATAATGATGATGAAAAATAATGATAATGGTCAGAATAAAAAAAAGAAAAGAAATTAGAATCAAATTAGACACTTTATCAAAAAATAAAGTAGTAATAGAGCTTATTTATTATCATTGAAAAGCAAAAAAAAACATATAATATTAATGAATGTAATGATAATAATGATGATGATGGTAACTGTCATCTTGATGATCATTAACATTATATAATAATAATGATAATAATTTCTTCTTCATTTGATATCATGCCAAATGTTTAACACTATATTACACAAAAGAGTTCATTTGCCTCATCAAAAAAAACGAGAACGAAAAAAAATCATTATTAGCCTATCATTTATATCAATTACATAAATATATTATATCACACAAAATAACATTTATAAACGAAATGTCCATTAAAAATACATATAAAACATTTCTATTTTCACTTTACTGAAACGAAACATTTTGGAATATGAAAAAAACCTCTTTTTGATCACAGACATTGATGCCAAAACCATTGAAAAAACCCCTTTAGCTATATCAACAGAATTGTAATGATAATTCATCATAATAACAAAATAGGATTTTTATTCCACATCTCCAATCATTCATTGAACATGACAATATTTGTCCAAATGTTTTTGGATAAATAAATGAAATATTTTTTGGACCAAGAAAAAAAAACAAATTATAGTGAGAAAAGAATCTTTTTTTCCGTTTGAATTTTTTTTTCTTATTGGTTTCCGTTTGAATTACATCTATTATTATTAGGTTTAATGATGCAATAATATTTAAGAATGGAGAAAAAATTGATTCGTATTGTTTTTTTTTTCTCATTTTTCTCGGTGATTCGAGATTTTTTCACATTAATTTTTTTATTTCATTATTGCATTTCTCACGATACCACTCTGTCGTCAAGTCTAATCATTTTTATCTTTTTGCATTGTTATTATTATTATTATTAATATTATTTATGAAATTCTAAGATAAGAAACAAGTAGAGAAAATAATACACATACCTATAATATTGTAATAATAATAAAATTGATGGAGCATAAAATGATGCTATAGTGGCAAATATTTGATACGAAATATCCTGTGAAATCATACATTCTTTACGTTCCACAATTCTTTGCTCAAATTCATTATCTTTCCAGCCAAGCATCGGACCCAATGATATGATGGCCGAAAATAGCCAAATAATTGCAATACCAGCGCAAACATGTTTCGCTTTACGACGATGTATATAATCAACGGTTGTTACTGCCCATAAACGATCACAGGATATGGCTAATAAATGAAATATACTAACGAAAGAAAAGAAAATTATGTTATTCCATTTCATATTTCTAGCATATATTGTATGCAGTTCGATTAATCTAATAAAAAAAATATAATTTTCGGTTTCCTGAAATTTTACCTTGTTGTACAACAAAGTACATCGATAAATGTCCAAAGTTCACATAGTTTAATACCCATACGCCATTCACCTGTCACTTCATAGATGGCACCAATTGGCATGACTAAACATGCTACCATTAAATCGGTAATGGCCAATGATACGACTAAATAATTTCCAACTGAACGTAATGATCGTTCAAATATAACTGCCGATATCACGAATACATTTCCTGATTGATTAATTATTTGAATTTTAAAAACTTTTTTTATTACGGAGATTGATATATAATTACCAATTATTGTAGCCAATATTAGAAAAATCAATATAATTGATAATGTTATTAATAACGGTGTGCTCAATGTTGTGCCACTATTCGCCATCGAAGTAACATCATAAAATGATGATGAGGATGATGATGATGATGATGATACTAATGGTATTAGATTTAGATCCGATTGATTTGGATGATAAATGAATAAAAAATCATATGGTTCTATAGTGGATGATAATGATGATGTTTCATCATAATTTTGATAATTATCATCATTATTTGGATTATTACTTTGTTGATTATGATTAATGATTATATCGAACAAAGGATCGTGTATGATTGAATCAGATTGCTGCCATTTTGTTGGCGGTTGATCATCGGTTCTCATCGAATCATCAAACATAATAAATATCAAAAAAGAAATCTACAGAATTTCGATATGTATTGATAACAATGAAATTTAGGTGATGATGATGATGATGATAATGATGATGAAAAGCTCGATTTGAAATTAGTTTTTTTTAATTTTCAATCTACATTGAGACAATAATTTTCAATTAGAAATTCCAAATCATCATCCATTATACATGATTATTGTTTGTGATAATTTGTTTGTAGAAAATCCAATATTTGCAGGTAAATTAGTCTGAAATAAAAAAAAACACAAAACATTCGATTAGTATTTGATAATTATCTATTTTTTAGGTTCGGACCAAAAAAAAACAATAAAAAAGAATTTCTCATGAGAGAAATAATTGTCGTCATCATTCGACAATTATTTGGATGTTAGAAAAAAAAAGATTGATCCCAGATGTATGGATTAGAATAGATTGACATTAGATAAAATTCAGATGAATAAAAGTATAAAAATGATACACAATGACGTCACCGTAACATAATTGCTTCGTGAAATCTAAATCATCATTTACTGATAATGATCACAGAGAAAAATAAACTGAACTTTATCTGAAATGAAAAGAATAAAATTATGATTTAGTGATAATATTAGGACAAAAAATAAATATCATTATGATGATGATCAATAGGTACTAAAATTTTCCATTATGATCCGATTCAATTCTTGATAAGAAAAATTATTATGATGATAAATCTGGCTTTTTCCGAATAATTTTTTTTTGTTTGTTTGTTTAAACATTCATATATGATGTAATGTGATGATGAAATTTTGGAATGAATGAATAAATAAAACAAATTCTAAACATTGAACTTTTAAAATTATGATAGAAAAAAATTCAATGAATATAGATAGATTCTTGTTTACATTTTTCTACACAGATTTCAGTAATTTTTCTTTTTTTTTCTCTTTGACAATAACAAAATTCTTGTCAAAGAAAAAAAAAACATAAATAATGTTTAGCATCTTCATCAAATATTTTTTTTTTTTTAGTTTCGTATTTGCTTTCCCACTCTATCTTTCTGATTTTCAACCTTTCAAAAAGGTGTTTTGAAAACAAAGTAGCTGAAAAAACCAATCCATTCAAAAAACGATAAGCACACAAACGATATTGATTTTTATAAACAAAAAAAAAACCAAAAACGAAAAATAATAATGATAAAGAAGAGAAAAATCAAACATTCATTTTATTCGAGCAAACAATGCAATCTTTATTTATTCAACAATATAAAGATTTTGTGAATGAATGAGTTTTCCTTTTTGAAAACAGAACAAAACAAAAATCCATCACAAAAGTTGATATGTTACCAAAAGTGAAATGAACAAAGAAAAAAATTGTTGGACATAATTGTTCAGATGAAAAAGAAATTCGTTATTAGAAAAAGGAAACAAAAAAATGTCAATACAATCTCATCATATTCAACCGAAATGCAATATTTCAAACGAAAGAATAATGGAAAAAAACCTGAAGCAAAATATACAACCAAACAATAAGAATCGAAAATTTTCCCAAGAGTTTGGAATCAAATAATAAACTCTTATTAACATCATCATTATTATTATTCGGGCCATTGATGGATAAAAATATCGAATCATTTTTTTTATTTAAATTCACATTTGAATTGTGTCTGCATTTGAAAGAATATTCTTCAACGTTCGCCTGAATGAACAATAAAGAATTTTGTCATTTTTTTAAATGAACTAATTTGATTGTCATTATATAACAACTTTATAATGGAGAAAGAAAAAAAAATTAAAAAATTTTGCTTTACATTCACTTCCTCATCTTCATTCTAATTATGATGATGATGGTAAAGAGAGTGGGGGAAACAAAAACCTTGTCAAGTCATATGAATGATTGATGAACAAAAATAAAAACAAACGTTTCCCGTAAGGAAGAAAAACCTGATTGAAATGACAAGTAAGTAAAAAAAAATTGAATTTTGTAAAAAAAAATTCATAACATATTTTTTGTTATTATAAAGTTCTTTTTTTGTTTGCATCATGTCGATATGATGAAAGGATGCTGAAAATGACAAGTGAAAAAACTCTTTATTCAATTTACATAATAATAGGTTTTTTTTGATATCCAAAATGATGATGATAAAAACAAAAAACATCAATCAGAACAACAAAAAAAACTGATTGAATTCAATGTTTTTTCAAGGTTTTTCAAGTCTTTATCTTATACAATGATAATTGATGGATTCCTTTTTAAAGGAAAAGAATATTCTCTCTCTCTCTCTCTCTCTTTTAGCCTTAATTTTTGTTGTTGTTTTCGTCAACGACTTAGATAAATAAACAAAACAAAAACGACCAACTAAAACAGAGTTTTGTGAAAATTGAATTTAGTTGAATAGAAAAATGATTTTCAAAGAATAGTTTTTTGTTTTGTTTTCCCTGCATGCTGCCCTCTAAACAGAATCGAATTTAAAATTTTCATTGTCAACAAACATGATTTACGAATAAAATGTGATTGCATGTTCTGTTTAGCCAAATGAAATTATTCATGAATCAATTTGTTCATTTTGAACTAAAATAAAATAAAAAACAAAATGCATTCATGAATGAATTAGATTTTTTAGCCAAAATGAAAAGAATTGTGAAACAAAAAACACAAATAACAATCGATTCGATCCAAAGACAGAGCAAAACAACAACAAAAAATGTAAATTTGTGACATCCCAATTTGCATTTTTTTTTGTTCTTTTCTTTTCAGTTTTCTTTTGAAATAATTTCTGCTATCCGATTTAATTAGTAATGAAAAAACGATTTTTTTATATATATTTTGTTTGGTTGTTGAAACTCATTAGTTTGATTTGAAATGATGAGAATAGCACACAATAACGACCAACATCTAATTTATTAATCAATTCATGAATCATCATTAACGAATTGAATTTAATGGTTTTGCTTTTTTTATTTGTTTCTATTGGCAATGTTTGATATTTTTCCTAGTTTTGGTTCTGTTCAATTCAATCTTTTTTTTTCTCGTAATACTCGACTGATACATATAAATAATAGATTTTCTATTTTGAAATCATAGAATCATTATTATCATCATCATCATCATCATTATGACAAAACGAATTTAATTTAATGATGATGATGATTGAATATTTATACCTATACTTGCTGTCATCACCATTACATATGTGAAATATATTTGTTTGTTGTTGTTGTTTTTTTTTGGGAGGGGAAGACAAAAAAATAGATTTCAATTAGAATAGATTGAAATCTTTGAAAAAAAGAGAGCATTACAAATGTAATAATAGAAAGTATCAGATATTAAACTATAGGTAAAGATTGAAATAATGAAAATTTATTCCAATGGTCATCATCTATAGAATAATAAAAAAATGTGATGACCATTCTCTTCTTTTTTTCTTTCAAAAATATCCATCATCGTCCAAAAAAATAATAAAAATAAATAAATAAACAGGACACGTTTGTTACCTGAACGTAATAATGGTAATGATAAAATGAAATGAAATAAAATATTTTCTATTTCATGTCTCGAAATTTAGGGGAAAAAGAAAATATGAAAAAAACAATAAAGTTTGTTGAAATATTTCATCAAACCTAATCTAGTTTTAATTTACTTAGGAATCGCAAACATTTAATATATGAAACTGAAAGTGAAATAAAGTAAAACTTTCAAGAGGTTCAAAAAAATCATTAAATGTTAGCGATGTGTATGATGATAATTATTATTTTTTTGTTTCGACAACGGTAAAACCTATTTTTTATATCAAATATAAAATAATTCAATGAACCAAGAAAAAAATGAAATTGAATTTTATGCTTGATGTATTATGATGAATTTTAATTAAATACATTACATAAATTGAAGATCAAATGAAAAATTTCATTTCATAACAACATTTTCATCGCAACAAATAAACATTCATTTCATTTACATTTACATTTGCAGATAAAGAAACGTTTTTTTTTGTTGTTGTTATTAGATGAAATTCAGAGATTCAACACTAAATATTAATCGAAATTTATTTGAAATGAATCAGGAAACGTAAAGTACGAGTTTTTTTTGTTCTCATCATCATAATCACAATTCAAAACGATGATTGCTGCTATGGAAAATAATTTGAATAAGAAAAAAAAAGGAATCTACCCTTTTTTTTATCTACTAATTTCTTCGAATTCATTTCATTATTACAAAGGATGATTATCATTAAAATAAAAGTACCGGGGAGAAATTCCAAAAAAAAATTCGATCAAAAGTTATGAAATCGATCGGAAAAAATTAAGTGAGATGGGATGTAAACATTAATGAAACTATTCGGAAATCAGACTAAACCCACACATGCATTCACGAGGAATAGAATTTTTTACTGAAAAAATATGAAATTTTTCATTTGTTTTTGTTTTTTTCTCCCATCATTTTTCAGAAAAAACTGAAAATTCTTTCGTTTTTTTTCACAAAAAATTAATGAAAATTGAAAATGTCAATTTAATTAAATGATCGTCAAACTTTGTGAAACGATGAAAAGCGAAGCAAACAATGAAAAAAAATCCAACCAAACAAGACAAACTCTACCAACAACAACAACAAAAAATTCCCTTTCAATCCAGAAATTGATTCCAAGTAGAAAAAAATAATAATTGCTTATTCAAATGGATATTATCATTATTGATTTTGGGCCGAAAATAAAGTTGGCACTTGTGCCTTTTTTTTATTCAAATAGATATTCAGATTGTGATTGTGAGTATCAGACGCAATCACAATATGTGTGGTGATGCTTAAACAGCAAACAAATTATAGCTGTATATTTTTTGTTTTGTTTTAAATGGTAACAAAAACAGCAACAACAAAACTTCGAATGAAAACACACAGAGAATGTGTCCAGGATAGATAAATGTGTATATTTACATTCCCGGACTAACAACAATTTATTATTACTTAACCAAGCAAGCAACTTTACAAAGTTAAAGATAAATTATATCCTGAACAATAAAAAAAGGATAAGATATATATTTAATTCACCGTTTAGTTTTTTTCTCTCTTCTGCTTCACTTCAATACATTGTCCTTAAATGAATGGAAATAAATAAAG